GGGCCGACCGTGGCGACGGGCGTTGGGAGGCTGGCCAGGACGCCACGGGGCGCGTCCAAGAGATCATGGGGCATGGCTGGAAAGCCGCCCATGACAGTACATTTGCTTACTTAAATGAACTCGATCATACTAAACTTATATTATCCTTGCATCGATTTTCACTTGATCAATTCAGATTAGATTTTCCGTTTGATCATGGTTCTAGATTATTTACCTCATTTCTTGACATTGCAAGATATTGTTCCACCATGGTTGTGAATGATTTCAAGGAGATCATTAGAATATTAGAGTGTGATGTTGGTTCCACCTCCAATGATCGATGTATTTTGACTCCTTCTCCATTTGATCCCGATCCCGAAGCGAATTTGTTCATTGTAACCCCTGGTGGATGCCTTCACGTTCCTCAATTACAACCTGAGACATCTGCACATACTCTCTTACTTGTGAAGCATTACACATTTCAGCTTTTCAGGGCATTGTCCTACATTCTGAAGTTGGGATGTGATGTATGTTTAGTTTTATCACAAATTATAGATGCAAGTCGCGATATACGAATTGTTCTAGAGGGGTTGAACAAGGTGGTTGAATTCGTAATCTCCAATCATGGCATACGTTTGGTCATTAATGCATGTGCCGTTGCGTTTGTGGCTAGTGCTAATGGTGTTCTTGATATTGCTCTAGCAAGCAAATCGTCGTCCAGATTTATACTAGTTCACAGGAGAATAGACCTTGAGGTAGCTGAAAATGGGATTACAAGAATAACTGATGTTTACAATGCAAGTCCAGCTAGTATCGACTGCAAAAGTAAACGAGTTTCTATACTTGGGGACAGGCTTGAACTTGGTCCATCAGAATTCAAGTTCCATGGGTTGATGCTAAAAAATTCTTGGGATCACCATTTTAATGTCGTCGCACATGCCGGACCAAGGTTTCTAACCGCAGCTGAGTTTGTAGACTGTTTTGAGGAGATAAAGCTGGTATGCAGTAACGATGCTCACTGTGGCTTCTCAAATTATCAATTATTTACTTAGAGGTCATATTATCCTTGTCAATGACAGCAGTGAACGACAATTGGGAGTGAATTTGGATCTTACCAAACTTATTTTCCCTACTATGTTGTTCAATGGTTAGAGAAGATGCATCAACTGAATCATCTTCATTGAGTTTGAATTTCTGGAAAATGAGATTCATACATGCACATATTCTTGGGTTTCTTGATCTCCAATCTGTCGTTGATGATGATGGAAGGTGCTATGGTCATTTGTGGACAACGAACCTTATTAACTAACCCCAAGATCATTCTGCTTATTGTGTCCATCACTGCTCTTGCTACTGGTTTGCAGAGAATTGTCCAGGAAGCTGAAGTCAAGTATGACCCTCTCCATGGCAAGATGCTAGCTTGCTGCCTTATGCTTTGTGTTGACGTTGTGCCAAAGGTTGTCAATGCTGCATTGACCACCATCTCATGTCACTTTGACACTGCGATGATAGCTCATATCTTCTCTTATCACAGGGATTACCTTTGTATAGACACATTTGGCAGAACAAGTGTTATTAACATTGTTCTTAGCCCGAACCTTGAGGACAAGGTTCGTATTGAGGACGGGGTATTGTTATGAACGAGATTAGCCAGAAGACTAAGGTGAAGGGCTAGTTTGGAATATTAGAGAACTTTGTGTGGGACCCGGGAAAGAAGACTAAGGTGAAGGGCTTATTAAAAAGAGAATCGATGCTGTAAAAAGGGTATGCGTATTGTTGAGTAAAATATCTGCTTCTCCTCATCTCCCTTCTCTAGTGTCTGTATCCTCTCATCCTCATTCTTAGTCTGAGCTTCTCATCCCTTCTTCTTTATCCTTTATATTCCAATTCCGTCATTTTCGTTTCATTATTAGTACTAGCAGTTGTTCTTATATTTTGAGCTGAGTTGTAATCTCATTTCTCTGTTGAAGTAATAGAAAAGGGTGTTTGTGAGTTTAAGTTACATTTAGCTACTGGTTGATTTGGGATCATTACATACTCCAACAGGGCCTAAAACTAGCACCTTATGGAAATTAAATCCACTGGTCTTATCTGGAAACCACAAATTTTCACATATCATCTCTAATTGCAAGTGGTGGTGGAGTTGTCAACTGCGAAAAGTTCTAAAAAGCGCTACATGTCTAATGGGGCTTTAAGCGCAAAGCACAATTAAAATGTGGATTTAGTATTTTTTTTAGACTGTTTATTATCTTTCCTTGGGGCTTTAGAAAAAAGGCACAACAACACCATACCCAATATTATCCCACACCGTGGGGTCGAAAAAAAGGCACAACGTAGGAAAAAAATAAAAATAAAATATAATTCAAGAAAAAAGTAACAAATGCATTCATAATGTTTTCTTTAACAACTAATGCACTTATTTGCCAATTACTTTTGTTGTTTAGTACCGCTAGATTCAAGACAGAACTCATGCGCAATGAGGCACACGCCTTAGTGCCTTGCCTATATCGAAGCGCAACTTAAGCGAGGCATCGCGCCCTCCCTGAGCTTTTCTGAGCTTCAAGGCTTAAGGGCGCCATAAATGAGCTTTTGAAAACTTGCTGCATATAAAAAATTAAAACTTATAGCTTAGGTAAAAGGAGTACGAGGCTCGATGCATATTAAAACCTTATGATCTATGATTCCCTTCCCCTTTTTTGAACACTTTTGTAAAAGACCTGCAGGTGGTAAGTATACTAGACTAGTCCCTTCATCTATATATGACGCATATTAGTATTAACAATATTCTCCATTTCAATAAAAAAAACATATATAAATGAAGGAATTAGTCAGTTATTCATTACCTTGGACTTGGAAAGATTAGGCAACGAAAACATTAAGGTGGAAACAGGGGCAGCGACCAGTGTGAGTAGCAAGGATCCAACAAACAAGCTCGGTAGATTCCCCAGGCCTAGAGATATAGCTCCTTCATCACGTAAAGGAAGCACCACGAAATATGCACTCAAAATCTGCATATTTCAAAAATTAAAAATTAAAAATCAAATTTGATGATTTAAATACTGATTTCATTTGCGCATATTAATCATCAAATGGAAAACAAGTAAATCCGTTTAGCCAAGAAAAACGTTGACTCAAATGAGCCCAGAAAAAGATTGGGTAAATTATGTTTTTTGAGGAATTGATGAAGAGATTGAGATTCGAGAGAGAGAGTGGTCTTGCTTACAAAGAAAAAAGTGGAGGTGGAGTAAAGCAAAGCGGAGAGCTCGTGGGGTAGAAGAGTGACGAAAAACGAAACAAATGCCTCAATTCGATCTCTGCCCACCAAATTCATCGGCCTCATGCTACTACTCCCCCTTCTCTCCTTGTTTATCACACTCTTAGCTGATTGACTTGAAGATCATGGAAGAGAGAATGAGAGATCCGGCGAGCTGAGACTCGACAATTGACAAAAGCTCTGATTTATCTCTCATTTCAGACTTTGGTAGTATAAAGGATCTGCAGTTTACGACTCTTCTTCCCAATGTCCGCCAAGAAAAAATGTTTAGATTTATTTCGCATTGACTTCTTTTTATGGAAAAGTTCCGACCTAATGAGTATTCAAAGGGGTTATACATGTATGATTGCACGTTTTAATATAAAAAAATTACACCTTCTATATTATGAAAATGAAAATCTTACACAATTATTAGTTTGAATAATTTTACGTAGGCGTTTGGACATAAGAATTGTAACATTCGAAAAAATGGCGAAAATGGTATTTGAAATTTAGAGTTGTGTTTGGATATAAATTTCAGTTTGAGTTGTTTTTGAAGTTTTGTGAGTGATTTGAGTGAAAATTTTGAAAAACAGCTTTCAAATTTTTCAAAATGCATCTTCAATTGAAAATTAAAAATTTTATGAACAAACGTTGATTTAAAAAAAAAAAGTAAAATTTTTTTGAATAAAACTTCCTTCAAATTTTATGTCCAAACAGGCCCTAGACGTCTTAGTTTTCATAAAGATGATATATATATATATATNAAATTCTTATGTATTTAATTTTATGAAATTTAAGAAAAAGAATAAATTTTTTGTTGAATTTTTTTATCACATAACATTAAAAAGAAAATAAACATTTTTAGACATGCATGTTGTATCTTTTTAAACTCTTGAATAAATGGTAACCACATAAGATATGGAGTATCAATTACTAATAGTAACTTGGGGAAAGGACTAAAAATGTTCCTTAACTATGAAAAATAAAACAAAATTATCCGAATTTGGTCCCAAATATGCTCATATTTATCCTTTAACTATGTAAAATAGATTAAATTTGTTCTCCCTTTGAATTACCCTCATTATTAGTGGACCAGCTTAAAATTACTTATTACTACCTTATTTTTACTTATTTAAAATATATTTTATTTTTACGTTTTAAAATGTCAAACGCGGCATTAGGGAGATCACAAGTCACAACATGAAGTTTTAGTATCTAAGCGGGGAGTTAAACGTAATATCATTCTAAACAACAAAAGAGATTAATCTTATTTTTGGGCCAAAAATATTTTATTTTTTTTCAAAAACACTTTTGGCCAAAAATTGAGATTTTTGGTCAAGTTTTTGGAAGGAAAAAGTGCTTTTGAGCAAAAGTAGAAGCAGAAAAAAATAGCTTATTTCAAAAGTATTTTTTTGAGAAGCATTTTTGAAAAAAATATACTTAGAAGCAGTTTTCAAAAGTTTGGTCAAACACTAATTACTGTTTAAAAGTATTTTTTAAATTAGTTAGTCAAACACAAACTACTTCTTACAAATTTTTTTTAATAAAGTACTTTTGATAAAAAAAAATTCTCAAAATAAAACAGGCTATAATATTACGGAGCAAAATCTTAATCAATTATTATAAACATATATTTAATAAATTTTTCCATTTAAGGGTGTCGTACTCATACTATGTAAAGCTCTCCAATATCAATACTGAAGCATTTCCTGACTTCCATCTTTTGTCGAAGCAAACTAATGATTTAACGTTGTTCACAATTTCTATGCTGAAAACAGGAGGAGGTGCGAAGTTGACGAAAACAGAAGAGTGAGTGCGGCGGAGTCTATGACGAAGCCAGGAATTTCATCTAACTAAAAACAATCATATTCAATATATGCTATATATTATTAAAATTTAATATTTTACTTTATATATACGGTATAATTTTCTAAGTACCGCCTTAGCGTTACGTACCTTCGCCCCCGGGCGGAGGCGGCGTAGGATTTGAAGGTGGAGGAACGAATGCTATTTTTGAGAGTAAGAAAGTCTGTTTTTTTGGGTGGCTCAAAAGTTGTTTTCTTTCGTTTTGGAATTATTTGGGATCAAAGCCCATGTGTCTATATTTTATTTGGAATCTCTCGGTGGAGAGCGCATAATGCATAGACGTCCAGTAATCAACAGAAATGCACAAATGAAATTCTTTTGACAAACTTAAGGGCTAAAGTATTGCTGAATCAGATTCTGAAGTCGAGAATTACAAAGCTCCAATCACTTTCCTCACTGTCTGAAATTCTAGACTCTCCTTTTTCCTCTCTTTCCCGAGAAAATTCGCGCATAGCACAGTGAGAAAAACAATTCTTACATTTTCTAGTTCTTTGTTTTAACTTTTATTTTCTGTTAGTTCATATGTAATAATAACAAAATTCTTGGTCTTTGTGATTAATTTTGTACAATTGAGCAAAATCGTGCTTTAAGTCAGTAATTACGGTTTCTGATATGAACTTGATGTGGGTGTTAATTTATTTATTTGATCATTGATTGCGGAATCTTCAAGTTGATAGCTTTTAGTCTTTTTAGATAACGGTAGTACCTGTTGTCTACTGCCGTGTGCTGAAATTCTTGATAATCTTCAAGTTGATAACTTGTCTAGCGGAACTCTCCAAGTTTCTTGGATCGGATTACATGTTCAATAAAATTTGATTTCTTTGATGCTAAAATTGACCTAATCTTATAATATGATACTCTAATGAAGTTGTAAACTTTAGTTAATCTGCTGTGTGTGCAAACTATGTTTTGAGACCGTATCGGCAAATGGATTTACTGAATAGTAGGTATCCAATAGTTTTTGACTAAATTGCTAAGGGTGTTCAATCAGGTGTGCTATAGACAAATGGGTAGCAGAGGTGGTGGAACGACTGATACTCCTTTTCTGAGAAACTACAGGCTAGGAAAAACTCTTGGGCATGGAGCCTTCGGTAAAGTCAAAGTTGCTGAGCATTTGCTGACGGGGCACAACGTGGCTATAAAAATCCTTAACCGTCAAAAAATGAGGAATCTCGGCATGGAGGAAAAACGTATGAAGCTCATGCCTGGGGTAGCATTATGCTATCAACAAAATTGGTTTCTTTTTTATTTGAATCTCGTCTTGGTTTTTCGTTTAAGGATTTAAATGGTTATCCATTTTTTTCTAAAATTTCACTATATTTTTGTGCAGTGAGAAGAGAAATAAGAATATGTAGATTATTTGTGCATCCACATGTCATACGGCTCTATGAAGTGATAGAGACACCAACAGATATATATGTTGTAATGGAGTATGGTAAGTCTGGCGAGCTCTTTGACTATATTATGGAAAAACGCAGGTTACAGGAAGATGAAGCTCGGCATATTTTTCAGCAGGTACAGTTGATTTTTTTCTCTTTGTCATGTGATAGTACAAATGGCAGTCTTAACTGTGGCTTTATCTTTATGTAGTTTAATTTTTCGCTGATCATTATTGCTTGGTTGTTTTGGCTGGGGACAGATTGTTGCCGGTGTAGAGTACTGCCATAGGAATAGGGTGGTTCATCGGGACCTTAAGCCTGAGAATGTGCTTTTGGATGCAAGAGGCAATGTAAAGATAGCAGATTTTGGCTTGAGCAACATTATGCGAGATGGCCATTTTCTGAAGACAAGTTGTGGAAGTCCTAATTATGCGGCTCCTGAGGTGGAAACTTGCACCACTTGTAATCTTTAAGATAAACATTTGTCTTTTGAGCTGGAAGGCCGAAGTCATATCGACAACATTTATTTGCAGGTTGTCTCTGGGAAACTTTATGCTGGTCCGGAGGTAGATGTCTGGGGTTGTGGTGTTATCTTATATGCTCTTCTTTGTGGAAAACTTCCGTTTGAAGATGAGAATATACCTAACCTTTTCAAGAAAATACAGGTACATAGATTGATCTACTTTTGCTGTCTAAGGTAGTGGTTCTTTACATGGTTAACAATGTGTCATTCAGCGTGGAATCTACACCCTTCCGAGTCATCTGTCACCTGGAGCTAGGGATTTGATACCAAGGATGCTAATTGTTGACCCTATGATGCGGACCACCATAGCTGATATTCGTCAGCACCAGTGGTTCAAAATTCATCTTCCTCGGTATTTGGCTGTTCCTCCACCTGATTCTATGCAACTTCTGAAAAAGGTAACTATAACATTATTTTGCTAATAGCAAAAGATTATCTTGTATGATGCTAAAAGTATTCCAATTGATTTTACCCCTTTTTGTCGACCGCTATCTTCAAATCCAACTAGATATGCTGCTGCAAATCTGGAAACTTATACTGGACACTGGACTTTGTGATTTCTCCACTTGTTATTCCTGTATTAATTCAAGTGGTGACATAAAGGTCATCAAGTATACTTCCAAAGGACATCAAATCATTGTTTCCAATCTTCACTTCCTTCTACGAGATCAGGGAAAACTTGTGTATCTTGCAGCTATTGTAGAGGTTCTTGTTTGATTGGAAATATGTCGAGAGCTTATCTCATCTATCCCATATTATTGTCTGTTTGTTAAATACTTGTAGCGTGTAATTCTTTCTATTACCCATCCTTGCTGATACTATAAGCTGTCTTGCGTACAACTTTGCAGCTCGACGAGGAAATTCTCCAGCAAGTAATTAGAATGGGTTTTGATCGAGACCAGTTGCTCGAATCTTTGCAAAAGCGAATGCAAGATGATGTACGTTACTCTGTCTCTAGGCATAGCTGCTTTTCTCTTCTTGTGGTTTTCCTCTACTGCATATGCCTACTAAAAGGGTATTGGAAAAGGATAAATAAGCCAGCAATTGTAGCTATGCTTGTGTTTTACATCTCTACACTGGAAATGAGGGCTTTATGTGTATTTGCTGATCCTTGGGAGGAGTTATATACACTGTGGTTCAACTAAAGTTTGAGGTCACGTTCAATCAAATCGATTACAAAGTGATGAAATGTAGTGAACCTTTTAATTACTTCAGCTTGCTTTATACCTTCATATGTCTGTCTCAGGCTACTGTTGCATACTATCTGCTGTACGACAACCATTCCTTGGCTTCCGGTAGCTATCTAGGAGCTGAGTTTCAGGAATCTATGGTATGCCCTTTCTTATTTTTACAGTCATTATTTCTCGTAGCATAAAGTTTTTGGGCTGGCATTTACTACTGTTTCTGTCAATAAGAAAATGTTAACTACGTTCATGCTGTTGTGTGATTGTCATGGAGCTATTCTACCTGCCGAGTCACTTCAGATAGGAAAAGTACAATTTGTGAAAATCCCATCACAATGAAGAAACTCTGACTACGGACATGCTGCTATCTTTTTGCACAAATAAGGAACAAGAGATGCTACTATGTTCTGCACTTCTCCAACTATGTCCTAATTCTGATTCCCCTACTGATTCTGTTATACCTCTGAACTTCTTACTGATAGTATCAGAGTCTAAAAATAATCTTATAACTCAGAAGTGGCTTATTTTCCAACCTCTTAGGGTTGGGGGAAGAGGTAGCAGTTTTCCTGATATTTGCTTGATTGAATCTATTGGCTTTCTATAAAATGAAGGTGAAAACTGCAAAGCATGTGAAGAGTCAGTCTTTTGTATATGATTAATTTCACAATACACTACTATGGTTCACATTGTCACGTGTTAGGATACGGAACCCGGGTAGTGCGAAAATTAGCCAAACAATGGTATAATGACAATAACAAAGACAATTGAAGTTGATAACAACGACAATTAAAGTAGATAAAGAAGACACAAATTTAACGTGGTTCGGTCAAAGTGACCTACGTCCACAAGCGGAGAGGAGCAATTTACTATAAGAATAAGAGTACAAAAGAGAGTACAAAATTAGAGTAAACACTCTAATTAATCCCAAATACCCTAAGAGAATAACCTCACAAGATCACTCCAAAGAAAGGGTTCACACAAGTGTTTCCCAACATTTAACTCTCATATAAAACACTCTTAATAAAGGAAGAAAGGAAGAAACAAGAAATGAAGACTCAAGTCTTGTTGGTGTGTCTAAAATGAACTAATGGCCTTCCCTTTTATAGGCAAAAAAGTCTTGACCTCTTAGGTGTAAAAGAAGAGATACAACTTGTGCAAATGATGTCCAACACACAATGCAATATTTTTGGGTCCCAAAGAATATTGCCAACAAAGTCTACACTTTGCAAAGATGCTTATGCTTATGTGAGATGGACTCCATTTGACAAAATAATGGCCATATTACAAATCTCCACCTTGGCCTAATTTTGGATGATATAGTAAATTTGCTCCACCTCTCCGCAAAAGCCTCAATGGGCATATGTCAAAATTTAATGCCATCAAAATCAGACAAGTTGTCTGATACCGAAACTGTAGTAGGGCCTATAACAGTGGAGCCCAATAAAGTATACAACGAACCAGATCTGTGTGCTTTCATGATCACACGAGCACCTTGAAAAATTTTCAGAACTCCACCTTCACCAGTGAATTTGCACCCAAGGGATTCTAAAGTGCCCAAAGATATGAGATTTTTCTTCAACTCAGGAACATATCTAACATCGGTGAGAGTTCTCACCACATCATCGTGCATTCTGACCCGAATTGTACCTTTGCCAATAACGTTACAAGTAACATTGTTACCCAATTGGACAACTCCACCTGCAACTGAATCATATATAGAAAACAAGTCCCTTCTAGGACACATATGATATGAACAACCGGAATCTAAAATCCACTCATTGTCTAATCTGAAACTAGTTTCAGTTGCTAAAAATATAGTTCCCTCAATCTCATCAGTTGCTACACTAGCTTCGGCGGTGTCAGTATTTTTGTGCTCATTTTTTCTTTCTTTATGCTTTTCTTTATTTTTCAGTTTATAGCATTCAGAGATATTGTGACCTTTCTTATGACAATAGCGACACTGTAAATTATTGTATCTGGATATGGAGTCGGATTTGCCCCTAACAAACAAGCCAACTTCCGCTTGAGTTCCACTAGCTTCCCCAGTAATATCACTATCTATCTGTTCTTTTGATTTTAAGATAGATTTAATATCCTTATAAGAGATATTATCCTTTGCATAAAGCATAGTATCTCTTATATGCTTAAAAGATGGGGGTAGAGAACAAAGCAGTAACACGGCTTGATCCTCATCTTTAATTTCAGCATCTATATTACTCAAATCCATAAGAATGGAATCAAAGGTGTCAAGATGAGAGAGAATAGAGGTACCTTCACCCATACGAATTGTATAAAGCTTCTGCTTCAGGTAAAGTCTATTTTCCACCGTCCTCTTCATATATAAGGTTTTCAATTTTTCCCACATGCCTTTAGCTGTGGTTTCTACAGAAACTTCACGTAAAACCTCATTTGAGAGATTTAAAATGATACCTGCTTTTGCCTTTTTGTCTATGATGGCAAACTCCTCGTCCGTCATTTTATCCGGCTTCTTCTCCTTTCCTTGCAACGCCAAGTCTAAGCCATCCTGAATTAGGATAGCTTCCATCTTTAATTTCCACATTCCGAAGTTTGCACTTCGGTCAAATTTCTCAACATAGGTCTTTGTTAGAGTCATTTTGGCTATTGAAACTAACCCGGTTAGATCCGGCTCTGATACCAATTTGTTAGGATCGGGAACCCGGGTAGTGCGGAATTTAGCCAAACAACGGTATAATGACAATAACAAAGACAATGGAAGTTGATAACAACGACAATTAAAGTAGATAAAAAAGACACAAATTTAACGTGGTTCGGTCAAAGTGACCTACGTCCACAAGCGGAGAGGAGCAATTTACTATAACAATAAGAGTACAAAAGAGAGTACAAAATTAGAGTAAACACTCTAATTAATCCCAAATACCCTAAGAGAATAACCTCACAAGATCACTCCAAAGAAAGGGTTCACACAAGTGCTTCCCAACACTAACTCTCATACAAAACACTCTTAATAAAGGAAGAAAGGAAGAAACAAGAAATGAAGACTCAAGTCTTGTTGGTGTGTTTCCAAATGAGTAGAGAGTCCTCATTATATAGGAAGAGAAGAAAGAAATGCTTGGCCAACAATTGGCCACATCCTCTCAAAATACAAGGCCATTTATTTGGCCAACAAGGCCTTAAATAAAAGGCTCCAAATGTGCCAACAAGGCTCACAAATAAAAAGCCTAAAAATAAGGCCACCTTTTACAAATCTCCACCTTGGCCTAATTTTGGCTGATATAGTAAATTTGCTCCACCTTCTCCGCAAAAGCCCCAATGGGCATATGTTAAAATTTAATGCCATCAAAATCAGACAAGTTGTCTGATACCGAAACTGCAGTAGGGCCTATAACAGTGGAGCCCAATAAAGTATACAACGAACCAGATCTGTGTGCTTTCATGATCAAACGAGCACCTTGAAAAATTTTCAGAACTCCACCTTCACCAGTGAATTTGCACCCAAGGGATTCTAAAGTGCCCAGAGATATGAGATTTTTCTTCAACTCAGGAACATATCTAACATCGGTGAGAGTTCTCACCACATCATCGTGCATTCTGACCCGAATTGTACCTTTGCCAATAACGTTACAAGTAACATTGTTACCCAATTGGACAACTCCACCTGCAACTGAATCATATGTAGAAAACAAGTCCCTGCTAGGACACATATGATATGAACAACCGGAATCTAAAATCCACTCATTGTCTAATCTGAAACTAGTTTCAGTTGCTAAAAATATAGTTCCCTCAATCTCATCAGTTGCTACACTAGCTTCGGCGGTGTCAGTATTTTTGTGCTCATTTTTTCTTTCTTTGTGCTTTTCTTTATTTTTCAGTTTATAGCATTCAGAGATATTGTGACCTTTCTTATGACAATAGCGACACTCTAAATTATTGTATCTGGAATTGGAGTCGGATTTGCCCCTAACAAACAAGCCAACTTCCGCTTGAGTTCCACTAGCTTCCCCAGTAATATCACTATCTATCTGTTCTTTTGATTTTAAGATAGATTTAATATCCTTATAAGAGATATTATCCTTTGCATAAAGCATAGTATCTCTTATATGCTTAAAAGATGGGGGTAGAGAACAAAGCAGTAACACAGCTTGATCCTCATCTTTAATTTCAGCATCTATATTACTCAAATCCATAAGAATGGAATCAAAGGTGTCAAGATGAGAGAGAATAGAGGTACCTTCACCCATACGAATTGTATAAAGCTTCTGCTTCAGGTAAAGTCTATTTTCCACCGTCCTCTTCATATATAAGGTTTTCAATTTTTCCCACATGCCTTTAGCTGTGGTTTCTATAGAAACTTCACGTAAAACCTCATTTGAGAGATTTAAAATAATACCTGCTTTTGCCTTTTTGTCTATGATGGCAAACTCCTCGTCCGTCATTTTATCCGGCTTCTTCTCCTTTCCTTGCAACGCCAAGTCTAAGCCATCCTGAATTAGGATAGCTTCCATCTTTAATTGCCACATTCCGAAGTTTGCACTTCGGTCAAATTTCTCAACATAGGTCTTTGTTAGAGTCATTTTGGCTATTGAAACTAACCCGGTTAGATCCGGCTCTGATACCAATTTGTTAGGATCGGGAACCCGGGTAGTGCGGAATATAGCCAAACAACGGTATAATGGCAATAACAAAGACAATGGAAGTTGATAACAACGACAATTAAAGTAGATAAAGAAGACACAAATTTAACGTGGTTCGGTCAAAGTGACCTACGTCCACAAGCGGAGAGGAGCAATTTACTATAACAATAAGAGTACAAAAGAGAGTACAAAATTAGAGTAAACACTCTAATTAATCCCAAATACCCTAAGAGAATAACCTCACAAGATCACTCCAAAGAAAGGGTTCACACAAGTGCTTCCCAACACTTAACTCTCATACAAAACACTCTTAATAAAGGAAGAAAGGAAGAAACAAGAAATGAAGACTCAAGTCTTGTTGGTGTGTCTAAAATGAACTAATGGCCTTCCCTTTTATAGGCAAAAAAGTCTTGACCTCTTAGGTGTAAAAGAAGAGATACAACTTGTGCAAATGATGTCCAACACACAATGCAATATTTTTGGGTCCCAAAGAATATTGCCAACAAAGTCTACACTTTGCAAAGATGCTTATGCTTATGTGAGATGGACTCCATTTGACAAAATAATGGCCATATTACAAATCTCCACCTTGGCCTAATTTTGGATGATATAGTAAATTTGCTCCACCTTCTCCGCAAAAGCCCCAATGGGCATATGTCAAAATTTAATGCCATCAAAATCAGACAAATTGTCTGATACCGAAACTGTAGTAGGGCCTATAACAGTGGATCCCAATAAAGTATACAACGAACCAGATCTGTGTGCTTTCATGATCAAACGAGCACCTTGAAAAATTTTCAGAACTCCACCTTCACCAGTGAATTTGCACCCAAGGGATTCTAAAGTGCCCAAAGAGATGAGATTTTTCTTCAACTCAGGAACATATCTAACATCGGTGAGAGTTCTCACCACATCATCGTGCATTCTGACCCGAATTGTACCTTTGCCAATAACGTTACAAGTAACATTGTTACCCAATTGGACAACTCCACCTGCAACTGAATCATATGTAGAAAACAAGTCCCTTCTAGGACACATATGATATGAACAACCGGAATCTAAAATCCACTCATTGTCTAATCTGAAACTAGTTTCAGTTGCTAAAAATATAGTTCCCTCAATCTCATCAGTTGCTACACTAGCTTCGGCGGTGTCAGTATTTTTGTGCTCATTTTTTCTTTCTTTATGCTTTTCTTTATTTTTCAGTTTATAGCATTCAGAGATATTGTGACCTTTCTTATGACAATAGCGACACTCTAAATTATTGTATCTGGATATGGAGTCGGATTTGCCCCTAACAAACAAGCCAACTTCCGCTTGAGTTCCACTAGCTTCCCCAGTAATATCACTATCTATCTGTTCTTTTGATTTTAAGATAGATTTAATATCCTTATAAGAGATATTATCCTTTGCATAAAGCATAGTATCTCTTATATGCTTAAAAGATGGGGGTAGAGAACAAAGCAGTAACACGGCTTGATCCTCATCTTTAATTTCAGCATCTATATTACTCAAATCCATAAGAATGAAATCAAATGTGTCAAGATGAGAGAGAATAGAGGTACCTTCACCCATACGAATTGTATAAAGCTTCTGCTTCAGGTAAAGTCTATTTTCCACCGTCCTCTTCATATATAAGGTTTTCAATTTTTCCCACATGCCTTTAGTTGTGGTTTCTACAGAAACTTCACGTAAAACCTCATTTGAGAGATTTAAAATAATACCTGCTTTTGCCTTTTTGTCTATGATGGCAAACTCCTCATCCGTCATTTTATCCGGCTTCTTCTCCTTTTCTTGCAACGCCAAGTCTAAGCCATCCTGAATTAGGATAGCTTCCATCTTTAATTGCCACATTCCGAAGTTTGCTCTTCGGTCAAATTTCTCAATATAGGTCTTTGTTAGAGTCATTTTGGCTATTGAAACTAACCCGGTTAGATCCGGCTCTGATACCAATTTGTTAGGATCGGGAACCCGGGTAGTGCGGAAATTAGCCAAACAACGGTATAATGACAATAACAAAGACAATTGAAGTTGATAACAACGACAATTAAAGTAGATAAAGAAGACACAAATTTAACGTGGTTCGGTCAAAGTGACCTACGTCCACAAGCGGAGAGGAGCAATTTACTATAAGAATAAGAGTACAAAAGAGAGTACAAAATTAGAGTAAACACTCTAATTAATCCCAAATACCCTAAGAGAATAACCTCACAAGATCACTCCAAAGAAAGGGTTCACACAAGTGTTTCCCAACATTTAACTCTCATATAAAACACTCTTAATAAAGGAAGAAAGGAAGAAACAAGAAATGAAGACTCAAGTCTTGTTGGTGTGTCTAAAATGAACTAATGGCCTTCCCTTTTATAGGCAAAAAAGTCTTGACCTCTTAGGTGTAAAAGAAGAGATACAACTTGTGCAAATGATGTCCAACACACAATGCAATATTTTTGGGTCCCAAAGAATATTGCCAACAAAGTCTACACTTTACAAAGATGCTTATACTTATGTGAGATGGACTCCATTTGACAAAATAATGGCCATATTACATCACGCTTACTACAAGTTTCAGAACGCTGGTAGTTCAGTTCTCGCTTTACCCAATATTACTTGTTAACTTCCGTACCTATTCCCTAAGTTTAGAGCAATGATTCTTCAAATATCAGGTGACTATTTATTATAGTCTTAAGTATTCCACATTCATTAGGCGGACCTTGTAATTTACTTTCCTGTGTTTCTTCAGGATGGTTATTCCCCTGGGTCGCTTCCAAATCTTGATCGACAGCTGTCTGCTGAGAATGGAACCTCTCAAGCAGCGAGTTTGAGACACTCATTTTCCAAAGAGAAAAAATGGCTAGTTGGACTTCAGGTTAGTTTTCTTGTAGTATATGTAATGGAAATAAGTTTGAATAATTTCCTCTATTTCATTGTTGATTACTTTGTCAGTCTCCAGCAAATCCACGGGAGATCATGAATCAGGTTCTTGGAACTCTGCATGAACTAAATGTTCGATGGAAAAAAGTTGGGCACTACAATATGAAGTGTTTATGGTGTCAGTGTCACGGTCTTGATCATCTTAAGAGCATGGCCAGCAATCATGTGAATAATTATCAGTTTATTAGCAATGCAACTTCCATGAGTACACATTTACAGCCACAAACCGCTTTGAAGTTTGAAATGCAGGTATCATTATCTTTCTTTGTTTCATTATCTTTTACTCTCAACGTAGTGGTAATTCGATGAATTTGTGAACTGATGCATAAATTTGGATTTTGCTAACGATAGTCAAGTCTAATTTATCCTTTATGACCTAGCTTCGGGTATTGAATTACATCCATCTTTGAACTTGTGTTAACCAAATTACGATATTCCATTGATTCTACTAGTAGGAGCTTTTTTAGTTTTTTATGTAGATCTCTCTAATGTGGATTTGCATAAATACTATCACAGCTCTACAAAACTCAGAACGATAGATACCTGCTTGATCTCCAAAGAATTAGCGGTCCACAGTTCCTCTTCCTGGATTTTTGTGCTGTTTTCATTATGCAGCTGAAGGCACCACAATAATTGGAAAGGAAAAACAATGTCTAGAGCCAGTGGCGGATCCATTGGGTAAAGTGAGGTACACCTGAACCCATGCACTTAGCCAAAATTCTCAAAAAAAATAATATATACATATATTTGGTGGAACATGGTTATATATCTTAATGTGCACCCTATCCACAATGAATTGGATGGGGCACTGAAGGCTCTGGTTATTCATACAATCACTTGAATCGTGAAAAAGAAAATTAATCTAATCTCAACTGATCACCTATCGCTTTATTTGTATATGAACCAAAACTTCGTTACTTGAACCAAATTAAACCTAAAATCGACCAAAAACTGAATGCATACTCGTATTTGTGGTCAGTGATATATGATAATTAAGGATGTTGGTGCACTCATGGTTTTCAGAGAAAATGTGTATTTTGTACACAATGAAAACTTTGTTGTATATCAATTTGGTGGTTTTCTGCTATTTCTTTCATATAATTACAATTTTGTGTTCATGTTTCGATGGTTCGGTCTTTTCAAATTTCAACAAGATTATTAAAAACACAAGCTAAAATTCTACGTATCATTGTATCACTTGATAGTTGATGCCCTATATAAGTATTCATCTTCATATATTACAGATGAATGTCACTTAGTTCCATCGGTTTTTAATGAAACATATTGAATCTAGTATTCCTTTTTCTCTGCCTTGGTAACTGTCATATTTAAAGCTTTTAAGACATAAAAAGCACCCATGGTAGTTTCTTGTCAATAAAATTTTAAACTAATTAAAATGGATCGAATAACGAGTAATGTTAACATTGCAATGGAAATTGGCCAAGTACCTTTTATCAAGCAAAGGTAGGAGAAGGACAAACGAGTTCTTCAACTCCACCTCTGGCTATAACTCTAAGCTATAGTGTTAAGCTTTTGAAGTGAATTCAGTGGGAGACCAACAAAGGAAAAACCAAGGCGTTAAAAAACAAGTCGAGCTTTCATGCTAATAAACTTTTCATTCTAGTTTCCTAACAAAGCTGATTTTAGGCAATTGAAAAATTAATATGGATATATAAGAGATGATAACTTGCTTGGAAAATATATTGTCAACATTAGGTTTCTAATTAGCATAGAAACTAACCATCAGATACCATTCTAAATTTCGCACACCAAGCTGGTCAATTTTGAACTTCTCAAATTCTTCATTTTTTCAGATTAACGAAGAGACACTTGATTACTATACTGATTTGTATGTTTAATTGTGGTAGGGCATAAGGTCCCTAACATTAAAACGGATTTTTGTCTTTTAATATTTTGCTTTTGATCTTGCTTTTATAATACTTAGTTACTCGGCACGTGCGTTGCACATGTATGTCGAGTCATGTAGTATACACTTTGTATAAAATAATATCAATATTATTAAAATAAAAAATTTATTTTATAATAAATACATACGAAAGAATAAAATACAAGTTTCTCTTAATGTTCCATATAAATATAGATCACCAAAAATCAAACTATTCATATTTTTTTGTTGCCGAGCATAATGCATAAAACATTAATATGTTATGATTTTCTCAAAGTCTCAAGATATATCACATTCATGATAAAGGGTCACCAAACTTTAAATACTATCTAAATGAAAACACAAGTTTATTCTCATGATCTCACAAAAAAAAATAAAAAATCAAGTGGAGCATTAATGTAAGTTTAATTTATATCTTACAAACCTTGGAAATAATCTTTCATATAATTTCATGCATGCTATCAAACTGTACCAAATTAATCAATTTCATATGATACAAGGAATATAATTGTTTACCGAAAAAATCGGTTAACGTTAGATTTTATGTATGGTTCTAATGGTATGTGATACAATTTGACATAAATCGTGAAGAGAAGTAGAAATACTTAGATTCTTAGCTTATGAGAATGCAAACAATAGGGAATGAGAATGAATGAGATAAAAGCTAACACAAAGGGATATTTTTCAATCTGGGAAATGATTTCTTTTTGTCTGTCCCTTTAGCTTACACGCATTCCCCCTTTTATAGAAGAGGGTCATCACAAAAAAAGACAATAAAATAAGGCATATAGTGGAAGGCCCGTGATGACTTGTCTCTTCCTTGATTCCTGCCAAGATTCTCTCTCTTGGTGCGGTCGCAACGACTTTTGCCTGTGGGCTCGATACTGGCTCAAACTCGTTACTGGGTCGGGTCCTTCGGTCTTGGCTCGAGTTCGACCTTCAAGATGGGCGTCGAGCATTTCTGACCTCGAAGCAGTGCCTTGCGGATCGATTCGTTCACGAGCTCGATAGAGGTATCGAGCCAACTCCTTGAACGACCTTCGGACTCGAGGCTCGATAATACCGAACTCGGAGCTAACTCCCAGAAATCTCGTTCCGACTCATTCCGACTCTTTAACACTCGAACTTGATCGAACGTAGGAAGGTCGAAATTTATTTTGACCGTATACAGATAGTCCCCTCTTTTCTCACGAAGGATGCGGTGAGAATCGATGCGATTTTTGGTGGTTCGATCGCGACATAAGCCGACGTTCTCACAGGGATCGATTATGACGTATGTGATAGCTGTCCTATCGAATCAGCCTTTCAAGGTATTTAATGCTTGTCAGATGGTGGTCGGCCACCTGTGATATTGAACCGTCACGACGCGAGCCTATAAATAGCTTTTCTATCTATCATTTACTTCTTTCACGCGTTCACTCTCCCAAATTTTCTCGTCTTTTCTTCCTTTCTTGTTGCTACCAGAGTTTTGGTAGCATCAATTTTTTACTTTTCTTCATCTTTCTTCCTTCCATATCAATGGCCAAGACTTTTAAAACTGTGCCTCAGAAGGAGAAAGCTTCTTCTTCACGGTCGTTCGACGACAAGGCGCCGGTGGAGTCGTCCACTTTTGACTATATTCCCGGCCCGTGTACTCTAAGGATCGATTTTAAGATTGAGAATCCTTCATCCGTCCTGGGTCGATGCGAGCACGTGTCGAAGTATATGTGCTCTATAACGAAGGGTCATCTCGAGGCTGTTAGAAAAGACTGCAACTGCGGTTCCGAGGTTATGTTGCAAGTTCCATCCCCCAAAGGGAGCGTCGTCACCCATGTGGAGGGATTTTTAAGTGTTTACACTTATCCCTTCACATTGGGTCTGGTCGACCCAGTGATCATCGATTTTTGTAAGAGATATCAGGTCACCCTTGGTCAGATTCATCCCTCTCTATGGCGTATAGTAATCCTACTTCGCTTCTTCTCCACCAAAGCCGGGGGCTGAATTTTACCCTGAACCACCTCATACGTCTGTATCGACCTCAAATCTTTCGAGGATTAATCAGACTTCATCGTCGGGCATCGAAGGCTTTGATGTCGAGTATCGATGAAGACAAGGATCGGCGTTGGATAGGGTGTTACATTTGGGTGAGGACCCGTGACCTCATTCCGGAAGAGAAGATGTCATTCCCCGAGGAATAGAATTTTGATCGTAAGTTGTTCTCATAAGACTTTGGCTTTTTTTTAAAAATGTTTTCTTCCCGATATACAGCTTCCCCTTGGATACCACAAGAAGTGCCCGACCTCGAGGATCGGGTTCGGAAGTTAGCCCCGACTTTCTCTTATGCCGAACGTGCTTGGCGTGATTTGGCTAAAGGCAGATGGGAAGCCAAGAACCATGGTAAGGTTTTACTTCTCGTTTCCTTCGAAGCGCTCTTTGTGCTCTATTCGTTACCGATTTCCTTTTATGCAGGCGTAACCAAGGACGTCGCTTTGAGGCCTTCGAGCGGTGAAGAAGGAAATGAGTCCCCTGTCCCGAAATCGGGGAAAGACAAAAAGTGCAAAGCTGCCTCTCGATTAGAGGGCCCCAAGCCCAAAACTCGAAGGGTGAGGAGGAAAGTAATTGCCCTTTTGATCGACTCGGTCCAACGACTGAGAGAAGAGGAAGAAGGAGAGGGAGAAGAAGAGGAAGAAGGAGGTTCCTCGGCTTTGGTGTCCCGATCTGCCAGAGCTATCGATGTCACCGAAGCTCCTGAACCGATGGCAGTTGTATCGGTCGGGGTTGACTCCGGGATCCCGAGTCTTGATCGGAACGCCCCGAGTAATTTTCTTGGGACTATGACAGTGGTTTATTCGCCTTCTCTTCCCACTTTTTCCGAGGAGGAATTAAAGGAAGCTCGAGAATTGAAGATCCCCGATGTGGGCGGAGGCTCTAGTGCAGGGGATCCTTTTCGGGATTGCTTTACCATAGTCGGTGATGCTTCTGACATTGGGGACGCTTCTCTTCTACTGGAAGAGGCCCAACGTTTCATTACTCGGGTAACGATTTTACTATACTTGGTTTCTTTGTTCTTTTCCGAGTTTGACTTGTGTTCTTTCCCTACTGTGCAGGCCATTAGTAGATTTCGGGTCGATTTTGGG